CCAAACTGGGGCCAAACTGGGACTAAACTGGGACTAAACTGGGAATAAACTGGGACTAAACTGGGGCCAAACTGGGGCCAAACTGGGGCCAAACTGGGACTAAACTGGGGCCAAACTGGGAGCCCAAACTGGGACTAAACTGGGACTAAACTGGGTCCAAACTGGGAATAACGAGGTTAAACTGGGAAATTCTGGGTCCAAACTGGTTCCAAACTGGGAATCCCAGTCCCAAACTGGTTCCAAACTGGTCCCAAACTGGTCATCCTGGTTCTAAACTGGTCCTAAACTGGGTCCAAACTGGGAGTAACGGGGTTAAACTGGGAAATTCTGAGTCCAAACTGGTTCCAAACTGGGAAATTCTGGGTCTAAACTGGGATTTTGGGGACTCCCAGTCCCAAACTGGTCCCAAACTGGTCCCAAACTGGTCCCAAACTGGTCCTACTGATTCCAAACTGGGTCCAAACTGGGAAATTCTGGGTCCAAACTGGGAAATTCCAGGTCCAAACTGGTTCCAAACTGGGAATCCCAGTCCCAAACTGGTCCCAAACTGGTCCCAAACTGGTCCTACTGGTTCCAAACTGGTTCCTAACTGGGTCTAAACTGGGAATCCCAGCCCTAAACTGGGTCTAAACTGGGAGTAACGAGGTTAAACTGGGAAATTCTGGGTCCAAACTGGGAATACTGGGTTTAAACTGGGATTTTGGGGACTCCCAGTCCCAAACTGGTCCCAGACTGGTCCCAAACTGGTCCCAAACTGGTCCTACTGGTTCTAAACTGGTTCCAAACTGGGAATAACGAGGTTAAACTGGGAAATTCTGGGTCCAAACTGGTTCCAAACTGGGAATTCCAGTCCCAAACTGGTTCCAAACTGGTCCCAAACTGGTCCTACTGGTCCCAAACTGGTCCCAAACTGGTCCCAAACTGTGTCTAAACTGGGAATCCCAGCCCTAAACTGGGTTTAAACTGGGAAATTCCAGCTCCAAACTGGTTCCAAACTGGGAATTCCAGTCCCAAACTGGTCCCAAACTGGTCCCAAACTGGTCCCAAACTGGTCCTACTGGTCCCAAACTGGTCCCAAACTGGTCCCAAACTGGTCCTACTGGTCCCAAACTGGTCATCCTGGTTCTAAACTGGTCCCAAACTGGTTCCAAACTGGGAGTAACGGGGTTAAACTGGGAAATTCTGAGTCCAAACTGGGAAATTCCGGCTCCAAACTGGGATTTTGGGGACTCCCAGTCCCAAACTGGTCCCAGACTGGTCCTAAACTGGTCCCAAACTGGTCCTACTGGTTCCAAACTGGGTCCAAACTGGGAGTAACGAGGTTAAACTGGGAAATTCTGAGTCCAAACTGGGAAATTCCGGCTCCAAACTGGTCCCAAACTGGTCCTACTGGTCCTACTGGTTCCAAACTGGTCCCAAACTGGTCCTACTGGTTCCAAACTGGGTCCAAACTGGGAAATTCCGGGTCCAAACTGGGAATAACGAGGTTAAACTGGGAAATTCTGGGTCCAAACTGGGAAATTTTGGGTCCAAACTGGTTCCAAACTGGGAATTCCAGTCCCAAACTGGTCCCAAACTGGTCCTACTGATTCCAAACTGGTCCCAAACTGGTCCCAGACTGGTCCTGCTGGTTCCAAACTGGTCCTAAACTGGGTCTAAACTGGGAATAACGAGGTTAAACTGGGAAATTCTGGCTCCAAACTGGTTCCAAACTGGGACTCCCAGTCCCAAACTGGTCCCAGACTGGTCCCAAACTGGTCCAATTGGTCCCAAACTGGTCCCAAACTGGTCCTAAACTGGTCCAATTGGTCCCAAACTGGTCCCAAACTGGTCCTAAACTGGTCCAATTGGTCCCAAACTGGTCCCAAACTGGTCCTAAACTGGTCCAATTGGTCCCAAACTGGTCCCAAACTGGTCCTACTGGTCCCAAACTGGTCCCAAACTGGTCCTACTGGTCCCAAACTGGTCCCAGACTGGTCCCAGACTGGTCCTACTGGTCTCAAACTGGTCCCAAACTGGTCCTACTGGTCCCAAACTGGTCCTACTGGTCCCAAACTGGTCATCCTGGTTCTAAACTGGTCCCAAACTGGGTCTAAACTGGGAATAACAAGGTTAAACTGGGAAATTCCGGGTCCAAACTGGGAATTCTGGGTCTAAACTGGGATTTCGGGGAATCCCAGTCCCAAACTGGTCCCAAACTGGTCCCAAACTGGTTCCAAACTGGTCCCAAATTGGTCCCAGACTGGTCCTACTGGTTCCAAACTGGTCATACTGATCCCAAACTGGTTCCAAACTGGGAAATTCTGGGTCCAAACTGGGAATAACGAGGTTAAACTGGGAAATTCCGGCTCCAAACTGGGATTTTTGGGGACTCCCAGTCCCAAACTGGTCCCAAACTGGTCCCAACTGGTCCCTGTCCCCCCCCCAGGGCTGTCCCTGCCCCCCGACCTGTGCTGGGCGGGGCCCGAGGGGGGTCCCTGGGACGTCCTGGGGGTCCTGGGGACCCTCTTCGTGCTCAGCGTCACCTACGGGGCCACCCTCACCCTCTGCAAGGTAACTGG